CAGCACGCTGGCTGCCATTGTTGAGATGGCAAAGCCAGCACGCTGGCGACCATCATAGTTGAAGTGGGTAAGCCAGCACGCTGGCTGCCAGTGTCCAGATGGCAAAGCCAGCACGCTGGCTGCCATCATACTTGAAGTGGGTAAGCCAGCACGCTGGCTGCCATTGTCCCCTTACCAGCAGCCCAAATGCTCACGACGATGAGCTGGGCTGTCACCGCTTGGCCGCCGGTGGGGGGTTTGGGAGGCCTTGGCATTGTGGACGACCACTTCTTCAGCGTCAACCAGGATGACCAGAGGCAAATGATTCACACGTTATTGTTCAGTCTGCAGTGCGGCATGTGGTGATGCAATTGTTGAGATGGCAAAGCCAGCACGCTGGCTAGCATCATAGTTGAAGTGGGTAAGCCAGCACGCTGGCTGCCATTGTCCAGATGGCAAAGCCAGCACGCTGGCTGCCATCATAGTTGCAGTGGGTATGAGCCAGCACGCTGGCTACCATCCTAATTGAAGTGGGTAAGCCAGCACGCTGGCTGCCATCATAGTTGAAGTGGGTAAGCCAGCACGCTGGCTGCCATTGTCCCCTTACCAGCAGCCCAAATGCTCACGACGATGAGCTGGGCTGTCGCCGCTTGGCCGCCGGTGGGGGGTTTGGGAGGCCGCATCGCACACAAACACCCACACACTCCCTCAACTTCCACGAACACACACATACGCAGACTCGTTTCCACACGGACATAGACACACGCACAGAAACCCACACACTACCTCAACTCACTCGACTTAACACTTCTCACTACACACTTACCGGATAACTCGCACTCTGATTTCCTACGTGATGAAAAATGCTTTCGGGCCACTCGTCGTCTAGTTGCTTATATACCTCACACACACTGTTTGGGGTCTCTTGCCGGGATAATTTCGAGTAGGTTTTGGACAAAATGTCCCCAGTTTGTGCTGATGTTGTACGCTGCATGCAGGCTACTCCTGAGGCTTTGCAAGCAGTCTCGGACGAGGACACACAAATGCAGAAACTTCAGACGAGTCCATCGCAGCGATACGTGCATTAATGTAGTCCCTTTCTCCAGGTTGCTTTGGGCCATGAAAGTCCGCAAAAGGCTGAGCTGAAGCCAGATGACAGACTCATAAAGGCTGGAAAAGACGCCGTTTGAATCTGAATGACCAAATTTTGCTCCGGCAGACCTGTGGCAGACCCTTTCAAAACGCAAGGCATTCCCGGTTTGACCGTCCAGCTCAGATCAGTTTCCTGCACTTTCAACACACGTCAAACAAGGGCTACACTTTTGGGGGATTCCTCGTTCTGGATAGAAACCGGTGCTGCACGTCGGAGGTGAAAGGTCTTGACAAGCAGCAGCTTTGCATCGACTTGTTGATGGTAGGCACAAGACCTAGATGCTCAACTTTTGTATATTGATAATTCTTGCAAAATTGGAGAAGATTGATTGCCATTATTTATAATATATAAACAAGTTGTATATGTGTTGTTTTGGTTGCAACAGCAGATTGGTTTTTTACAAAGGCTGCGTCCAGTCCTATGTGGACTTCTTCTACATTACGCACCGAAAAGCGGCTCCTAAAGAAGGAGCACCGGAAGATGAGGCTCGGTGTTGGTTCAAAAGACAGCAAGTAGGAAATTGAGCAACCTGAGCAACAGTGGAAAAGCAAACAGTGGAAAATCAAAGCAAACTGAGTTTAAGCAGTCCCCTCCAACCCGTGTTTGTCATAGTGATGAGAGATAAGTTGGCTTTCGGCACGAGCACGGAGGCTTTTGGTGCGTCTTGTTTCCCACATTCATGTCCCAGTCCAACAGAACAATCATACGGTAACACACTAATGTGTTTGTTAGTTCTCACTGATGACACAAGGTTGATGTTCTCACCCATAATAAGTGAACATCATCAACCTTGCCACACTGCGTCAGTCTGCTCCACCACACGACACTACCCTTCTTCCACTCGGTTTACTCAGTCTAACATGTACGCATCTCCCAGCTGGAGACCTGTCATCACACTTCCAAGGATTCTAATTGGGCCGTCGGTGTGTTGTTCACTGTTCACAGAACTTTGGCATGCATTGCGGTGTGGTTTTGCTAGGGCATGCTGGCCATGCCCATCCCATTATCAAGCTGCGTCAAGCTCGCTTTTGAGACTTCAGTATCACCCGCAGAAAGGCATGAGCACATCTACAATGTATGCAGCACATGCGAGATGAATCCTGCAGCTGATTCGGCGTTAGTTGCATAAGACTTTTGGTTCAACGGGTCGAAAGGATCCAGGTCACAGGTGAAATTGATGCTTCTCTGATTTTGTTGCGGGAAGCTACTCCAACTCGGTCAAAGAGCCACCGGCGGGGCAAAGTGGCTTGCCCAAACCTTGCGTTCATAGCCTTGTGTTGGGTGTCATGTAAAGGCTGTAGGCAATCCCGTACTGTAGGCAATCCGTGGAGAACTTGTAGTCAAAGGGTAGGTAGGCGTTGGCATAGGTGCACCTGATTGTTGACTTGTTAAGTTATTGCAAACCGGTTGTTTGCACAAAGCCACATTGAATATGGTGTGCAAGTCACAACGTGTACTATAACCCCACGCGAGATCTCAACAAAATCCTTTGCATCCGAAAGGTGAAAGACGTGGTCATACCTGAGGAGACCTTGATTTTCTTGAAGGCACGTCCGCACTCTTTGATCGCATGTTGGAGAGGTATTATATATAAATATAGTTAGGTTGGAAGTTGGAACGAAACTGTATGAATTGACACAATCAGCCCTTCGTGCTGCCGAGCTTCCAATTCTACCAAGTTGGGCAGTTAAGCGGAGAGGAGACGCTGGAACAAGCAGAGTCTGCAAGACGACTACGGAGTTACCTGCAATGTTGCTTGGAATACTGCATGCGTTGCAGCGATTTGATGATTGAAATGATTGAAGGGTTAAGCGTGTTCGCAAGAAGGAACCATGGGAGTCAACGAGTATGCTGCTTTACAAACGGATGCATAGACATAAGAAGAAAATTGCAGTGGCAAAGAAACAAGCCCCCTCAACTCACTCGAACTCAACTTGCTCTCGTCATTCAACTCTCCTCTCTTTCAGGTTATGAAAGCTACAACTCCTTGGCCGAATTTTTTGAGAAGGTGCCAGACCTGAAGAGTGCCATGCCTCTTGGCGCAAAGGCTTGTACCAAGTACATACAAGTGCACTGTACCTTTGTTTTGGTGTATCTAAACAGTACGATATGTCATATTTTTGCTATCCTTTGAGGTATTTCTACCAAAGATGTGCGGACGTGGCTGCGGAGGCAACCGAACCGGGCAAAAAGTGAGGTGTTTGCTTTTCCTGCGCAAAGGATTACAAAGGATAATATTTGCACAGCAATTACGTGGGTCTACATAAAGCCAGAAATCGGACAGGCTATCAGTTTGGGTTGCTTTTAAGAGTTTGTTGGCGTCGCTGGCAAGGTTGATGCGTGGGAGAGCATTGCAAAGGCAAATCTCAATCTTGGCAGTTGCGAGGACTTGCTCAATTCAGCCCATCATGTTGGCGCCACAAGTTGCTATCATGCTTCACGGTTCATTTCTTGCAAAATGCAGGAACAGGGAGGAAACTGGCAAAGTGCTATGCAATATCATGAAAAAGCATTGGAGAATCTGGACTCAATTTGCAAAGGTCATCAAAGAAAGATCACGTCGGGTCACCCGACCCAAATACACCCGAATACTATTATATTGTCTTATCTTATTATACATAGTTCCTTATCTTCGGAACTTCGGTCAGACCTACGGTCTGGGACAAGGTTGTCCAATGCAATTTTGGCTCAATCTCTTGAGCCTTTGAGTTCTTGTTTTTCTTGTGACCGCTTGGTTGTCCTTTCGAAGGGCCTGGGGTCAAGATGTCGTAACGCGGTCAAGGAGGATACCGAGGTGGTCAGTGACCAAAGTGGACGAGGACAAGGCTCGGCGTCGTTCAGCACGCCGGGGACTAGCGCCACTCAATCCTTTTGAAGTCACGCGCCCCAAGCTTTTGACCTGGCTGGAGTGCACTGATGAAGATCACCGTGACAACTCCATGACCATGGTCGACGATCCTGACCAATCCAGTCATGGTTGGCCAAGGGGACTGTCCAACGCTGCCAGCTCCAATCAATGTGCTGACCCTGGACGGTATCAAAGCAGTCTTGGTGGTGCTGAACGATGCCGAGAGAGGCCACAAATGCCGGATGGGACCGCCTTTTGCGCTGCTACGGCGCACCCGGCCTTTTCAGCCTTTTCGCATAACGTATTTCGTACACCGATGTCAAGGTGTACAATGGGAACGAGATCCTTTCCCATTCCAAGGATACTGGGCCGACACAGAGACGACTCCAACTGCAGCTTGTGATGGGGTGCTGCCATTGGCATGAGAGGCCAACAAAGGGATGCTAAAGCTTTCAGCTGCGTTTGCCTCATGGGCTGGAGGGTCACTGTCTTTTCGTTCAGGTGCGATGGCAGGACTTATTCAGTGGGGCCAGGTGGAGGAGCACTTGTTAGTGGGGACCATGCCCTCTCCAGGTTCGAGTTGAGGGTCTGCAGCCGCTCTGAGCCATGGGCAACGATACAAGGAGTTGGGTTCCGTACACAACTTTTATTTCAAGTGTGCTTGCACTTCGGTTCCCAGTACGTGGCCCATTGTGTCATGCACATCTCCACGCCTCTGCTCCAGGCCATCAATGTTTGCCAATCGGGGGCAGGGGTGGAAGGGCCAGAGCATACTGCAGCTCGCTCAAGTCAACTGGCAGCAGTTCGCCCGGCATGGTGGGAGGACGCCGTGGCCAACTCGGCTGCTGAGGTGGGTTCGATCATTGACGTCATCGGTGACCTTGGGCGGGCAAATTCCACATCGCTTGCGCGTCAAGCTCTGGGCTGTTTGTTCTGGAAGTTGTCGACGGGCGCCGGCCGAGATGCAACATGAGGGCACTGAGGGCGCGAGGCAGGTGGTTCAGTGGACTTCGATTTCCGTGGAGCTCTGGCGCTGGGCTCTGAGCAAGGCAGCAGTGCGGTCAACAATGGGCATGAGCCAGAGGATGAGCGTGATCAGGCGACACAGCTGCGCAAGCCGTTCATCTGTGGTTGGGGCGCCAAGTTCGTCGAAAGAAGTTGCAGCAAGAAGTTTCAACGACCCTCAGCAGTGGAGTCCTCAGTCCTGGTCAAACTGGCAAAGTCAAACAAAAGCCAGCTTTGTTTTTGATTCTTGCAGCTGCTAAAGGAATGGCAGGGCGTTCCTTGGAGAGCTATCAGAAGGACAGTGTTCCCAAGCTGCCATGACTTCCCTCCACAGAGCCCTTCATTGCTCAACGCGTCGTTCATCGGCAAAGGCCCCGGCGGATCACCAAATCTGAAGCGAAAACTGCCAGACGCGGTCATTCCTACTGACGGCAATTTGCTTGAGGGCTGTTAGACAGGTTGCGGTTGCAGTTCCCTTGCTGCACTCACTAAGGTAAAAAACCATCCAGTTCGGGCCGCGCAAGTTTAGCACAGAGTTGATTGCCTTGGAAATCTCAGATCGCGACGCTGCGGTCGTTGTTGCTCGTGAGACTTTTCGCGGGGATCAGAATCAGTGACCAGTGGATCTTGATGTTTGTGGGTTCAGAACCGGTGCGAAGTGCTGTGGTGAACCGTTGGAGCCTTGAGCCCTCCTCTCTGCTCAGAGTTTTTACATAAAATTGATTGGAAGGAAAAGCATAGACGGGCTCGCGCCCGCAGTCAGTTCCTTTCACGTTCACGAACGCGGATCTCTCTGCTCAGAGCACGGGATGAAACGGGCTATATATACATATACGCGCGTATACATATACGTAGTAGTTGACGTAACCTATACTATATGTATACAAGTCCAATATCACAGTTTGTTGTCAGTGTCCATTGGTTTTGCCGATCACTTTCCGAGTTGGACTTTTTGGGGGGTTGGGCTTTGACGTGGAGCCTTAGGATTGCAACTTCCGCAGACTCCCTGCCTTTGCAGATCAAAGCAGCCAGTCGCCTCACCACAGTATGCCAAGTTTTGGCAGAGCAGTGCGAAAAGGACAGGGCACGCGCGCGGGCGGCACGCTGTCGAAAATCGTTGCTTTCAGGAACTTAATGTAATGACCTCGTGTAGCAAGACAAGTTCCAAGCACACTACCCGCCGGGTTCATTACCCGCCCACGACTTGGCTGATATCATGATCATGCGTTTGCGCGCAGCGACAAGCGATTCTTATCAATGAAAACGGGATGACGAAACCAGGTTGTCGTTTCTTGTGCGGCTGTTTGCGGTTTTGTTTTGGCAAAGTCGACCGCGTGATATTGATAAGTGGAAGTTCCACCCCGTACAGTTTGCACATTCGGAAGTGTTTCTTTCCTTATGTCTTCTCATGAGGCTTCGGTAGTCTTCAGGAACGATACTATTTTGGGGGGGTTGTGTTTTATCAAAAATATCAAGGGCATGGAAAGGATTAAAGGACACATAAACACCATCATAGTAATCTAAACAAATGGTGCTTTCGTCCAATTTTAATAAGTGGCCTTTTAATGTGTTAGAACTGTCTTGAAAAAAGATCACGAAAGCCAGCCGGTAGGCTGGGCTTGAGGTTGCTGGAGCGAACGAAGTGAGTAAAGGGGGTGTGGGGGTGGTGGTTGCGTGATAGCTACCAGAGCCTGGTGGAGGAGAGCGACAAAAAGAGGCGGGCCATTTGGTAGTGAAAAATGGTGCCAGGAGGCCATGGAAAGAGAACAGGTTGTAGTTGCGCCTAAGCTTAGCGTTGCTGTCGGATTGAAGAGGACACTCCCTACGCGGTAGGAGTTGACGTGAATTGGGGTTCCGCCTCCAACGCTTGCTCGCCATCTCTTGCAGGCCCTGAACAGATGGCATCACGCACGCCATGTGGGGTGCCCTTTTCAGTCCAGACACTAGACCTTGCTACGGATAAAAAAGGGCACCCCTAAGCTACGCAGAACCTTCTGTCTCCAACGCTTGCCCGCTGCAATCTCTTCTCTCTCCTGCCCCCAACCCCACCACATACTGTGTGGAGTGCCCTCTTCAGTCCGGTTCTCTCGCAAGCCCTCAACAGATGGCATCATGCACCCCATGTGGGGTGCCCTTTGCAGTCCAGCAACTAGACCTTGTTGCGAAAAAAAAGGGCTATTCAGGACCTTCCGCCCCCCAATCCACGTGAACTCCCACCACATAGCGAGCGGCCTCTTCAGTTCGGTTCTCTCGCAGGCCCTCAACACATCAGGCACCCCAATGTGACACTCCTGATTCAAGCAGCACTCTGAGACGTGGACATGGACCGTCGCAGCTTCCTTGCTGTACCGTCACCGCCATTTGAAGTGGCCAGCTGTTGCTGGAAATCGTAGCACTTACTCCAAACTACATTCCAAGCTTAAATGAGAACACGGGGATGTCCAATCACGAAAGCTAGCCGTCAACTCACTTAAAACACAGACCAACACACCATACCCATCAGACTACAAGGGAAACCTCTGTATTCTACTCTGTCTTTCAGCCATATCCATTTCACCACTTCCAGCTCCTCCTTGTCCACTCTACCGATATAAGTAAGTATACATATATATATGTCCTCAGGAAAGCGTACCGGTAGCCTCGCCCACGACCATCTCTACTTACCTCCTCTCGCGTACCTGCGACGCCAACTTCACCCATAATGTTGGCCTATCACTTCATCTTACACACTCCAGTCGCTCCAATATCAACCTCACCCCTTCCGGCTGCTCTTTGTCCACTCTACCTATGCACACACACACATATATATATATATGTATGTATCTCTCTGACTCGCAACACGCCGCCGGCAAGCGCCTCACTTCCTGAGGGGTGCCCTTTCATCTCCAACTCCTCCCGGAACCAGAGCGAGAAAGGGCGCCCCCCCAGACCCTGTGTCTTCTACTTTCCATTTCTACCCCTTATCGGTGTGGCTGCGATGTCAACGTCGCCCCATAACATTACTCTTTGCCCGATGTTACCCGATCACTTCCTCTTGCACGCCAAGTCTTTGCCCGGGCCTACCCTGAGAACACCCCCCATGCCAGAGGCTGGCTTTCGTCCCCTCCCTTCTCAGGCACGAATATTAATATGTGGCCATCAGATGTTTAATCTTTCTCGGCTCCAGCGCTTGGAAAGATCTGATGGCATTATCGATTTCTCTTTTTCTAGGTTTTTCTACGGGGCAGGAACTAAAGAGGCGCAAGGGAAGGGCCCCCGGTTCCAAAAATTGATATCTCTTATAATTTTTGGAGGTGGTTCTATAGGATTATTTTTTTCATGGTTCCAATTGTTAATTTCTAATAGATTGCAAGGCTACCGACTACTCCATTTAATATCTTTCCTTTGGGCAGCAATAAAAATATTAAAAGCTGCCACGAATCACTAAAATTGCATTTCTTATTATTGGTCGTATGGGTATATCCCTTGAGCCTTGGGGAATAGATGACTGTCACTCTGTGTGGTGGGGGCGTTCTGTCTGGCATCTATTCTGATTTTTGTTCCTGGCATTTAGCATTCTTGCTTCGCATTCTATCTGCTATCTTTTCTGACATTCATCTTCTGACATTCTTGCTCTGGCCTGTCTGGCATCTATTTTGACATTCTATTTGACATGCGTTCAGCCTTTTAGCTTGGGGTTCTATCTGGCGTGTATTCTGACATGCTACCGACCGAGAACTGCGTTTTAGGCCCGTGGTTGCCCAGGCGGGCTGGAGCTCCTGCCTGTATACCGACATTTATGTTCTGCCATCGCATTTGCCACTTGTTCTGACACAGGTTCGGGCAAGTTTCTGGCATATGGTTTGGAAGTCTATTTGTCACTTGTTTCGACGTTCTATTTGACGTTCTATTTGGCATCTTGCCAGTCTTGCTAATCTGGACTCTGTTCCAACATGTTTTCTAGGATGCTGCCTGGCGCCTATTCTTACACCCTTGCGGCCATTCTATTTCAGGTTTTGGTTGACATTCTTTCTGTAACGCTATTCTGGCGTACGCATGCCAAGTTCAGCTAGACCTCGTTCTGACGTTTGGGTCCGTTGGTGCCCGCAGCGACGACGAGCTGGAGGAGTATATAGGCGGTCGAGGAACAGGAGGAGGAGGAGGATTAAGGAGAATAAGGAGAAGCGAGAAGGAGAAGGAGAAGAGGATCCGTTTTTTGGCGAATCCAGAGACAAGCGGGCAAAAACAGGCTAATGTCCACCTCTGAATATGAACCTCCCCCTCCCTCTTGATCAAGCGCAGGCCCTAAATAGTGTAAAATCCATAATAAAAGTACCATGGTTGGCGATAGAGTGGTTCTAACTATCGACGAAGACGCATGAAGACGTATGAAGACGCGTGAAGAGGTACGAAGACGCATGAAGACGCATGGAGGCGCATGAGGGTGTATACACCCACAGACTCAGACCTCCCCATAATATTGACAAAACCCATTGGTCGGGCGTCTCTTCATTCTATAACCATCCGCCCATTTATTGTGTTGCTTCTCTGCTGCACTCCACTGTGCGTGAGAACACTGCTTTACGTCCTTACAAGTAATTACACAGACAACCCCTCATGTCTGAGCTCGACCGAGAGCGCGCGAGCGCAAGCGAAGTTACGAGGAAAACCGGGGAAACATCCATATATGTCAATGGAAGTGCAGGCGCAGGCCACATACTATGTATCGCGTATACTATGCGTGCGACGACTTAACACTTTGGCTCAAGCGCGCTCAGCATAGAAAAGTCTTGCGTGTTGCTTTGCTGGGCATGGGACGCTGAAAGCCACGTGGTCAATCGCTGGGTTCTCAGGATCACTTGCTTTGACAGGAATGGCAAAGAGTCGCGTTTCGGCTGTCATTGAGAGACAACTTTGTCGAGGACGACTGTTATGTCACTGCCCTGAATCATTTTGCGGAGGATGACGCATATGTGAGCCTCACTGCAGTGGAGCGCGACAAGTACATCAACGTCGATACGCCAAAGGTGTACTCCGGGCCCACGTCAAGTGAATCAGAGGTCGTCGGCGGAACCTTCGAAACGGATTCAGAATGGAAGGACTTTCAATTCATCGTGAAGGATCCGGAGCCTGAAGTTGACTTGACAGACTATTGGGCGCGAGGCGACCGAGACCTGAATCGAGTCAATGAATCCACACTCTCATTCCCATATTTATGCGACAAGTGCCGAGCGCGAGACCAAACCAACGAATGGAACGAATCCGGTGACAATGTCAAGGTTTGCGTGAATTGCAATTTCAACTTCTGGTGTAGACTGAATCAGATGTTTACCATTGAGCAAGAGAAGAACTACATTTGGGAATCAGCTCCGAGCCCTGACTGGAACAGAATCCTTCCCGCAGATGATCTGAAAAAGTTTGTGATTAAAGGAGCGCTCCTGTTATCAAAGAGGCCAGTACCTTAGGTCCACGGTACGCTCAACAATACATCGCATCACGGAGGCATCAGGGCACCAGTGGAGATTGCGAACACCTACTGCAAAGAAGAACACGGAGGATTGCTCATAGGTCACCGAGACTATGACCAAACCACCGGAGAGTATGGATTTAGAGCCTATGTGGCAACGCGGCGTACCGCGACTACGCGCAATATCTTCTGACGACAGAGGAGTAACAGGCCATCTTCACACTCGACAGCAAAGACAAAGTAACAAACTCTGAAGCCAACGTGATCTCTTCAAGGAGTGGAAGTGCATTGCTGAACGCAGGCGGGGAATCGTCCTTCATCCTACGCAGCCAGTCGGAGAAACATGAATGGCAACACCAAGAGGAACAAGTCTCCGCGCAGCTATCCGACAACTGAAGAAAAGAATGAAATGGCCGAGATGATGAAGAGGTACCAGAAGCCGATGATCTTCAGTAGGATGAAACCTTTAGAGGCGCCGCCTTTCGAAGGGAAGCCACACAAGACGAAGAGAAGAAAGAAGATGTATCGATGGGGAAAGAACAGGATGTGCACATCTACTACACCGCCTATGACTCCTGAGTTAGATCCTACAGAATACTGGAAGATCGGTGTCACCAACTGCGACATGGACGAATCCTCCACGCTCAGGACCCTATTCGACCAAAGGAAATGAGCCAGGATCTTCATCATGGAAGCAGACACTCGATAACATTACGAGAATGAAGAAAAGGGCAAAAGAGCAGCCAATTTGTCTTTGTTGTGCGTCAGATGAACATTCAATGGAGAATTGCGACAATGAGAGCTTCGCTGAGCAGAAGGGAACCATAGTCGCAGCCTTCGCACACATGGAGGCCGTTCTTCAGAGCAATTTCGCTGATCGCGACATTGAGATCATCCAGAGGACTGAACGAGAGAAGAAGAGAGCAAGAACCTCGAACGATGATGACTTACCAGAAGAGAGACCGCAACTGAGTGGAGAGTCTCCGACTCCTCCGGCTTCAAAGCAATCTCAATCGAAATCGTCAAAAGGAACGAAAGAAGAGTACGTCGAATACATGAAACGTTCACGTGGCAACGCTACGATCTGCACAAGATTCAATGAACCGGTGGATCTGCGTTCAATTGCTGATGAACAGGAAGGAGGCGCTTTCAATCTCTCCAACCGCGATGTGGGTATATCTGGGCCAGAGCTCAGTCAGCTGCCACCAAAATGCCAAAGGTCTCAGAGTTACCCACGTCAAGAACGCAAGGCTGCATACCAACAGATCAGGCCAGAATGCGACAGAGGCAACATTGAAGTCATCTCACAATGTGGTACCACCTATTGTTTCAAGAGCTGGAACGGAGAGAAGGGGGCAACTAGATCAGGATTTCTGAGACCACCTAGCTTTGATCCAAACGACTTCATCAGGAAGAATTCAGATGACTACCTCACGGTCCATGCAATCAGCAGGAGAGTCAATAGGGTTCTGAGGCAGGAAAGCAAGAGTGATCGGATCTTCCGGACGAGAACATGAAGTCCTTTGATGCAATGTGGGAGGATGGGTGAACATCCAAGATGTGCTTTTGTATGGCCATATCTTCAACGACAATAGCAATCGCCAGATGCGAGAAGCAAGGAAGGGAGGATATCTGACAGACATGTTGATGGACCGGTACTACCGTTGCTGTCAAGCCACGTGGTATTCGAGGAAACTCCAGAATCGGGTCAGATTCCAAATCGCCGCCGTCCGCATTTCTCCTGGCGATGTTATGAAGGCAGAGCAAAGGGACTATTGGAAGAGAAACTTCATTGATGAGATCATGGCTCAAACAGCAGCAAGCAAGAATGATCCTCAGGGTGACATCCACACCCCTTCATTCGATGAGGATGAGGTAGACTATGACAGAGACTTGTTGGCACCAGTGATCGAAGAGGAGATCGACCAGATGGAGGCCATTCGCAAGAGTGCTGTTGAACATCCATTGTCCACTAAAATAGGGCGATCAAGGACGTTGAAGTCGAGCCCACAGAACAGGAACTCAAACAAGGACGAGCTGACGATAAATGATATGATCCAGATGAACCCAGATCTTTGGACCCCGACATCGGCCTTCCCAACGACGAGTGACCCAAGCGACAAGTGGCGCAGATTTCCAGAACCAGTTCCTTTCGGCTTGCAAGAAGAATCAGAATGTCAGGACGCAGGCAAAGGCTCCTCGGGCTTGAAGGACCGATATGTCATGAGGTGCGTCGCCTATGTACAAGTCATATAACCTGTTGGGTATCGCTGACTTCAAGAAGCTCTAGGGCGAAAAGACTTGATGTAATGTCCGACTTCGACTTCACCGTGTGACTTTCAACGGATTGGACAACAATGACATGCCCAAGGACCCCACAATCGAGCAAACGCGATCATTCGCGTAGAAGCGCAACATCACGTCCAGTGAGGCATGGCGTCGTTTCCGTGGAGAGCTCACTTTGGGTAGTTTTGCTTTGCAAGCAATTGCTTTTGGCTATACTCCAGGTTCCTTCAAAGCTGAAATCAACGAGATCGACATGCCTCTGGGCACCGGCCCTGAGCAAGTCAAGGCAACGAAAAGGGCAAAATCAAGCATAACGTAACGTCAAGAATGGTTCGAAAACGCGTGAACGCCATCTACAAAGTCACTTCATATTCCTACTTCAGGGACGACTTGACCGATGATGTGTCTTGCAAATGCTTTGATCCTGTTGACATATTGTATGAGAGACCCAAGAACAAATGGGGTAGGCCATTTCTATCGGTATTGGACCTCAGCCAATGGCGCAGAATGTCTTGTTGGATATGACCCGACATACCGATGGGCGAGCCTTCAAACGTTGGAACAGCACGCTGGAATTGGATCAAGTTAAAAGACTCATGGATAAGTATGACTGCGGAGCAAATGTTTCCAAAACGCCGACTACGAGGAAAACGCCACAGCCGAGTGTTGCGCCAGGCAAGAAAGGTGGTAAGAGTTCCAAAAGCTCCAAAGGTTCCCAACCTACTTAAAATTGGCAGCGAATCAACTGGAACTCTCGAAGTTGGCATAGTTTTGATTCAACATTCCAAGATGAGCAATGGAATAATCCGGCCATCAGAGAAGGCGCCCTATATTGAGATGATTACCGCAATTGGGGCGAAGAAGAGGAAGGCTACGAGGAAGATACCAGACGCTAAGACAAGTTCAACTTACCAAGTATGAACCTCTGTCAGTCGTGAGAGTATCTATGCCACCAACCTGGGCATATTTTATAGTTGAGCGAGTCACAAAGACTCGGACTATCTCATGACGAAGATCTACTGAGAGTTTTCTGAGCGTTGCTAATTCGACTATCGTTTTTACAATTCATTTGCACAGCCATTAGGTCTACTCACGCATTTATATGTAAAAGCCCGCTTAGTTCCGCTAGTGTTGGGTAGTAGAGGGTCCATTTTTGGCTTCGCGGCATCAATTCGACGCCTACTGCACAGTACACTTACCCTTGAACTTATTTCTGTGTATCCGAAGCTGACAGCATAGGATACATGGGAGGTGTCAATGGAAGTGCAGCCAGAGGCCACATAGTGTGTATAGCATGTATACTATGCGTGTGACGACTTAACACTTTGGCTCAAGTGCGCTCAGCATAGAAAAGTATTGCGCGTTGCTTTGCTGTGCGTGGGACGCTGAATAGTTTTGTTAACTGTCGGGTTACAAGGTGAATATCCACACGCAATATACATATCCCCACCAAAACATACGTGCTAGGTTACCGAGAGGAAACTGTTCACAAATTGAAGGTGACCACTGCGTCCTTGCACCTCTCACCGTACAAAATAACTGCAACGCAAAGGGGATGCCAATCCCAATCGCTTCCTCTTCTTCCCACTTCCAAAAGACCAAAAAAGAACAGAAGGAACCTTTTAGTGTTCTGTTACGTTGTAAAAAACAGAATGACAGACAACACTGCCACAACTCATTCATATTTTTTCGTTTGGGTTGCGTGAGATTGTCTGTTGTGTAGCGTGCAGTGGGTGAGCCAAAGCTCAAAACCCAAGAACATTAGAAAACCATGGTGCAGCCATGAACATCTGCAGTGGACACAAAGGCGGTATGGTGTGCAACAAAACAGTATCCTGCGCAGCGTGGGTACGCAAGCCTTCTAACAGCAATATCAATAAAAGAAGCTGGACGCTGCCAAACAACAAAACGCGCCCCAAAGGGCAGCAATCGATCCTCTAGGTGGACACCCGATCCAAACTGTCTCCTCACGCGTCAGCGCGCATCGTCGCGCGGCGTCACGCATCGTCAGCGATAATCGGACACCTTCACAAACCTACTCTGAAAAATACAAGAACAATTTTGATTTGAACTTGACGTAAAAGGAAAACGAAAGGAACGGAAATGAAAAAAGAAAGAATAGAAAATGAACATGAAAGGAAGTGAAAAGGTTTGAAAGGAAAACGCAGAAGCCAATCAGAAATCCAGAAGGGTTTGAAACAAAGAGTTTTGACAGTAAACAACCATGGCCATCAATAAAGCTAAAGGTTTTCAACCAAAAGGAAATCTAGAGGAATCGTAAAGGAAGCCAGCAAATGCCCCAGCCAGCGTGTGCTTAGTATTGTTTAAGGTCTGGAGAATTTGAAGGTTTGTGATGCTTGCGAGGGGTAGTCTTTGTGGGTCGATTTCAGGTTGCAAATGGCAATGCCCAAATTTGCTTATTCTAAAAAGAGGCAGCCAAATTTGAAACAATCAGGTTGACTGTAAACAACAAGGTTTTGAAATCACCTGAAAGCTCAGAATCAGCTTGGATGAATTAAGGTTTGGACACAGCTGAAAATCAGGGTCCACCAAAATTTTACTATAATTTGGTGGCCATGTATAATTTGCGTTTGAAAAAGTAGTATTATTCACGGGCCATTTGTAACTCAGAAGTCAACATTATCATCTGTCTCTTCACCTCCTTCTAGCACTCGCCCGATTGAAAAGATTTGATGATTTGATGATGGAGTCCTGCACTGGCTTTCAAATTTGCTTGGGTCATGCGGGAGTTTCAAGGCTGTTTCTAGGCCTGCCCTGTTGGCAGTCGTTCTGGTGCACTGTTAAGCCTTCGCGGGAATCTGTAGCTTGCGAGGACGGCCACGATGCCGAAGCAGTACAGCTCTACGAACGTTGCCTGACCAGTGCGCAGCTCTCCAAAGACGCTGCCTTGGAGGGCTCTGCATGCCACAAGCCGCTCTTCCGCACGAAGATGCGCTGTTCCTGCCCATTTTCAAGCCAAGCATTTGCAGGGAAGAAAATTCCCTTGCGGGGTTCCTTGACAGTGGCACAGGCTGGGCTTGTCAAAGCACAAGACGGGACATTACGAGTTTCTTGGCTGCATGATGACCATACCATGACCACGCCCACTTTTCTTGCTTTATCTAAAGAATAGAAACAAGGGTGTTGTTGTTTCACGCAGGACGCCTTTCTGAGCAAACCATTAACTTACTGTTGGAATTTGCGCCAATTCTTGACAGAAATTGTTGTCGAATCGGTACTCTTGCTTATCAGGGTTACAAGCAGTTCCCGGGCAAGCCGGCGGCGGAAGTTTCCTATAAGAACAAATTGACCTATAGGAGTGTTCCGGTTCTCTCAAACACGCGCGTCCCCCAGTCAAACGCACGCGCTCCGGACTTCAACCTCCAGTACAAACTTACCTGTTGACAAAACAATCAACTGTAACCAGTGTTGGGTTATGATGAGTGGTGTATGATGAGTGATGTATGATGAGTCTTGTATGATGAGGGGTGTATGACGAGTGGTGTACGATGAGTGGTGTATGTTGAGTGGTGTATGATGAGTGGGCAGCGAGAGATGACTCAGCAACCACAGATGACTCAGCAGCGAGAGACGACTCAGTCGCGAGAGATGACTCAGCAGCGACAGATGACTCAGTCGCGAGAGATGACTCAGCAGCGGGAAATGACTCAGCAGCGAGAGATGACTCAGCAGTGAGAGATGACTCAGCAGGGAGAGATGACTCAGGAGCGAGAGATGACTCAGCAGCGAGAGATAACTCAGCAGTGAGGCAGCGAGAGATGACTCAGCAGCGAGAGATGACTCAGTCGTGAGAGATGACTCAGCAGCGAGAGATGACTCAGTCGCAAGAGATGACTCCTCCGCGTACTAAAGTTGCACTGCAAAATGGCCAGTTCTCAGCTTCCAGCTCCCCAGATACTCCGCGTACTAAAGTTGTACTACAAAGTGGCCAGTTCTCAGCTTCTAGCTACGCAGGTTGCTCCGCGTACTATAGTTGTACTACAAAGTCGCCAGGTCTCAGCCTCCAGCTCCCCAGTCACTCCGCGTACTAAAGTTGTACTACAAAGTCGCCAGTTCTCAGCGTCCAGCTCCACAGGTTTCTCCGCGTACTAAAGTTGTACTACAACGTCGCCAGTTCTCAGCTTTCAGCTCTACAGATTGCTCCGCGCACTAAAGTTGCACTAGAAAGTCGCCAGTTCTCAGCTTCCAGCTCTACAGATTGCTCCGCGTAC